AACACTTTAAAAGATGAGGGATAGAATTATTACAGGAAAGATGAAAATATAGTGAGTGACATGTTCATTATCCCTCTGAATTATGTTCTAAGCGAAGGCTAGAGCTAGCTGCGAACTTATGTGACTGACTCCATATGGCTGACTCCAGGTCATTTCTGTCCACCTCCTTAACCTGGCCAGAGAAGACAAAGAGAAAGATCAAGAAAGATCAAGTTTTGTCTTCATGGCCATCTTTAGTGAGGATAATCTATTGACAGTAGAATTGATTCTTCATGTGTGAATTGTATGGATTGATTATTCATGCAGGGAGCTATCATCCTTACAGTCACAAGGATTACTTCTGTGAATCCACATATTGACTCTGAGGCTGCTGAGAACTAATTTTAAAGAGTGAGGGAAATGATGAACTAGGAAAAAAATGGAGAGATTTGGGTTTCCTTCATTACCTTCTCATTGGAGGGTGTTGTTTTCTCATTGTTTCCTGATTTATTTTTTTTACAGGTTACAACTTGTTTATTGTTGCTGCCCATGAGCTTGGCCACTCCCTAGGTCTGGACCACTCCAAGGACCCAGGAGCCCTAATGTTTCCCATCTATACCTACACTGGCAAAAGCCATTTCATGCTTCCCGATGACGATGTTCAAGGAATCCAGTCTCTCTATGGTAACTCTTAATATTCCAGTTATAAAAGTAATTAATATAGTTATATTAGCACAATAGATGTACATTTCCTTTTGAGACTAATAACCCATTTTTTATGTTTTCAAACATGAGAAAAGATAATCCACCTTTCTGAATCACACTAGTTGCTCAGGTTTGAGCTACAGCTCATTTTAAAAATGTTTTTCAGATCATACTTCCTTGTATTTGTACTTATTTAACTTAGGAGCCACTAAATTCTATTGAGTTTTATGCACAGTACAGAGGTGATAATGAAGATGAGGACATAAAGAGCTCTTATAAATTCTGCCTTTCTTCAACCACTGTGGTTTGCTGCTATAGGAATCTCTCACAGGGCCTTTGGTGGTTTTCAACCAACATCCGCAGTGAGAAATTTTCTCTTATTTCCTTCCACTTTTCCAATAATATTTACAAAACATTTAAATTTCAACCCAAACATTTATTTCTGGGTTCTGTGTCATAAAAAGAAGTACAGCCACTGCTCACAGGCGTAGCACAAACACTCTTGAAGAATTAGTTCAGAAAACTTGCTCAAGCCACCTATGGACTTAAAAGACTACGGTAGTTTGTGTGACTGAAGGCATGAACTTAAAGGTGGAAAAAGGACTTTTCAAGCGTATTTTGTAATTCTTGATTCTACCATGCTGTGACCTAGGAATTGTTGACAGAATTATGTGTCTGGGGGGGAATAAGTGTGGGGTTACAAACATGTGGCAGGTCACAGCAGAGCTTCTTGAAGGTCCGTTTGTCACTGATATGAACTGTAGTGTGACAAACTGATGAAGCAAAATCAGCTGATATCTACAGTTGTTGAAATAGTCGAAAGAAGGAGCCAAGATGAAGGATCCACGAGCCTTAGAGTGATGTGCTTCCTGACCCTGTCAGCAGGCTGTGACTGTGCAGCAGAAATGCTCTCAGAGTTGGTTCACCTTGCATTTCTACCATCATCTTCAAGAAATGTACAGCTATGCTTCAGAAGACAGGAGGTCCAGAGTAGTGAGAGCAGAGGGATAGCACCCTGCTAGCCTGTGGTACTCTGCAGGGAGGAAGGAAGTCTGCTGGGTATTGGAGAATGAGTGCAGCCCTTTCCTCCTCTTCCCAGAAGGATTAGCCTTCCTATGACTCAGGACACTTGGAAACCTCTCATATTTGCTCTGTCACTGCAGGTCCAGGAGATGAAGACCCCAATCCTAAACATCCCAAAACACCAGAGAAGTGTGACCCAGCCTTATCCCTTGATGCCATTACCAGTCTCCGAGGAGAAACCATGATCTTTAAAGACAGGTACTCTGAAGATTCCTTTGTTAAATCTGCACATGATGAGCTCTGATAAAGTTATGTCTGCAAATTGCCAAAGCATCCTGTCAAACTTCCCAAGGGCAAAGCAGAAACTAGACCAAGGGCAGTTCACTTACATGCTTTGTATCAAATAAATGGTGGATAAATCTTAATAAGATAAGGGAAAAAATAGAAACCCAACTTACTTAAAAAACATGAAAAGTATTGAAAGTAATTGCTACATTAGTAAATTTACCGATAGCCACACTACTTTCTTTCAAGATGGATAGACTGATTCCAATATCTATATTGGAATTTTCAAAGAGGGGGTGATTTTCAGATGAAACCTATAGGTAATGAAAAATGAAATATTCACTTCCAATTTGTACATGGTTGTATCTTGCTTTTGTGTTAATCTCTTCATTGATTCATGTTTCCAAGTGGGTCAGATAGCATGGCCTCTCTAATTACCTGGTATCCAAGGTGTTTCCTCTTGTATCAGTTTGCAAGGTCAGTGAGATAATGGAAGACATACTCCTAGAGCCCAACAGTGCATGGGAAATGTGCTTGCCACTCTGAATATATACTAAGTTGAATAAAGCATGGTTTCAACCTATAGGGAACCTTCAATAAGGCTCTGTGGCATTTCAGATGAGAAGACCTGGCTAGAACTTGGAAAGCTACAACCTATAACTTAAAGGGAAATGACATTTATTTTCCTGTCTGGGTACAGGAATGGCTGTAGTGTCCGAGAAGCACTGATGTGGACAGTGGTCATTAGCAGGATGGAATTATCACACTTAGTGTGATAAACTGTTTTCCCTTTTGCATTAGATTCTTCTGGCGTCTGCATCCTCAGCAGGTCGAGGCAGAGCTGTTTTTGACAAAATCATTTTGGCCAGAACTTCCCAACCATGTGGATGCTGCATATGAACATCCATCCCATGACCTTATGTTCATCTTTAGAGGTAAGGCTGCCACCGGGGAGGCTCTCCAAAGGGCCAGCATAGATGGGCAATTAACTTGCTATTGCCAGAGACTTAGTAACATGACCACTAGCAAAGCAAGACCTAAATTAAGAACACAGCACAACACAGGAAGGCCAGAAAGTACATGTACCTGTTCTACCAAATGTCCTTAATTTAGTATGTAAAATGACTGTGGGATGGAAACATGGCTCAGTGCCAAGCACATCTGAGCACCTGGGTTTGATCCCCAACGATGCAAAAAGAAAGGGAAAGAAGGGCACTGTTACCATCCAGGCTTTGTTTTATCGTGCTCTTTCCAAGTTTTTCTTTTAGTTTCTCTTAAAAATTACTTGCTAAGGATATACAGTGTGCATTTTTAAAATGTGGGGAAGACTTAAGCAGGGTTCTCCCTTCTACTAGTTGTTTATTTCCTGATCTATTTTTCTAGTCCTTCATCTCATTTATACATACTTGAGGCAAAGTATGGGTATGATTTTTATGTTCTGTTTCCTTTATTCCCTGGCTAGGCTGACTGCCCTGCAAGACCTTAGCATCCTTCTGTTTACACCCAACCCCAAGTGCTTGGCTCCTTACATGGATGCTCTGAGTCTGAGCTCAGGTCCTCATGTTCCCACACCAAGCATTCTTATACATGAACCATCTCTCCAGCCCCTACTTAGCCCTAATATATGAGCATGGGGGTGGGGTGGGAGATGAAAATGCTGCCCTGCCTTAATGACCATAATTTATTTACATAACATTCTGCTAATGTCATTTCCATTGTTTGACTCTTATACTTGATGAAGCTACTTTCCAGAGAAAAAAGTAACTTTTTTAACTGACAAAAAACTTGAATTTTGAATCTAATTCACTGATCCTAGTTGCTCTTTTCTTAGAAATTTTAATAATTTTCTCAATCAGCTTCAAACTTAATGCTCAGAGGCAATACGTTGACAATTGGTTGTGATATTTGGCTGGCTGTGTTAATAACCTGGAAGTCCCAGCCCTGAATCCTGTCTCTGCTGGAATGATGCTTCCCTGTCTTTGATATCACTGACTTTGCTATTTCTTAAATAGTTTCCTGTTTCAGTACATGCTTGCATACGTAAGCCCTGACATACACTCCTTGGTAATGAAAACTGTTCTTTCATTATTTCTAGGTAGAAAATTCTGGGCTCTCAATGGTTATGACATTCTGGAAGGTTATCCCAAAAAAATATCTGACCTGGGATTTTAAAAAGAGGTGA